TCAACAGAATATTATCTCTTGACTTGGATTCATCTGGTTTAAAACAAATCCATCATCATATTTTAATGAACACTTAGAAGTGGCGCTGGGCCAGTGAAGACTTATATACTGCTAGCAGTGTGTTATGAGGGAAATTTCGGATTTCAACTGTCAACAATTCATTTGGGTGCACTCCAACATGTACGACTAGGTGCAGAAAATTTCGCTGTTAAACCCCATTTCACTGCTAACTGCAGTCTGTGCAAAGCTTCTATAACCCACACAGTCAGAACTGAGTAAAAAAAAAAAAAGATTTTACCCACAACAAGTTTATCCTTTAACCATTAACTGACAGATGCTGGATAAAAATAACAAAAAAAACATAATTGCAAGCCTGCTGACCAGACATAAAGTAAAACGCAATAAAATGTGAATAATACGAAGTGACGATTACAGTAACTGAATCATTGTATGTTTGTGATTCACATGTTTTTTTATCCCACGCTAAGCATTTCTTTCATTTTTTATCATTATACAATTGGAAAATGGGTATAAAAGTAGCACATAATTATATTATCAATTTGTCCAATTTATCATAAAACACTTAGATTATTAATTTACAAGCTATAGTACATGGCACAAAAAAGACCTAAACAAAACCAGATAATTTGGATGGGTTTATCAAAACGATTAGGTAAACACATGTATTTCTAACTTGAAGGACAGTAACATGAGAGGATTAAGAAGACAGATATTTTTAACTTAAAGAGACAGTGACATGAGAGGGTTAGGTAGACAGAAGTTTCCTTGTCATTAGAAAGACAGTGGTAGTGCATTGATCTCTCAGCCATGACTCCTGGCATCTCATGAAGAGTCTTCAGTATTCTTCAAGCCTGGCTTCTACATGTCAGGGGAGGGGCTGGTTGTGTGCATGTAAAAGAACCCTTAACAGTTCGAAATTGAACAAGAGTAGGTGGATGTGCCGCTGTCTAGGCAAAAGTCTCAAATAAATGACAAAAATATTATGTTGACCTTACTTCAAACCCCATTCCACTCCTTGCTGACAGGGATTTCCTCTGACAAGTAAGAACTGGACCCTGAAAAAAATCCTGGTAATCCTGCATGAGTTGTGACATTCTGATCATTAGTTAAGCTAACATATGGATAACTTCATCTCTATGGTTATGTTTACAATGTGAGGCGAACAAGAATTTAGGCCAAGCTTGGGGTTTATTATCTTGTCAACATAACACTTCAGCCACTTTGGGAATGATGTGTTATTTTATCATTTCTATGGTTATGTGTGCAATGGGAGTGGAAAACATTGCCAGGACAGCAGCATTTAGACTACTCTTCAAATTCCAACAGCAAATGTGTAAACCGGTAAACATGTTTTTTTGTCCCATCCAAGAAACATTCTCCTTATCAGCTACCTAGGTATCACATGACAAGTGAGAACTGGGTTTAAACAATCCCACAGGTTCTTCTTGGTTTGATATCAGTGCCCTATTGCTTGACCCCAACCCACAACGCATTTTATTTTTGAAAAAAAACACGAAAAACAGATTGATTCATGATGTGGTATTGCATCAACTTTTCTTCCATTTGCACTTCATGAAATCAATGCTGAAAAGAACAGAAAACTGATTTGGAAAAAAAGAAAAATAAGTTTTTCGGTTTTATTTAATTTTGGGCAGTTTGGAGACAATTTATTTTTTTATTATTGATTGTGTCTATCTGCCATTTACAACTTTTGATCTCTTCTGTCAGTATACATAATATGAAAGACTATTAATATGCCAGCAAAGTTTCTAAAATCAGAATGTTCAAAAGAGTAGTTTCCCTTGAATTAATATTACCACACAGAAAAGCAAAGAAACTGCAGATTCCAAGAAGTCTTATCAACACATTTAACTAATCAAATACACTGTTTTATTTCTAATCCTAATCAAACTACGGTACTCTATGTTACTTAAAACAGATATTTTTGAAAATTACTCATAATTATAACCTGATAAATTGTCTGTGGGGAGCATTGGATTTCAGGTGCCCCATATCTTCATGGTAAGATAACAACATCAATATTGATTGAAATTGACTCATGTCAAATTTTAATTTGATTTTAATGTCAAAGATTATGGATAATGTTGAGTTAGAGATTTAGATACTTTAAATCAAAATCATATTTCACTTTTTGTATTTTTGGAAAGTGACTCAACTGTAAGCTATCAGGAGTTATATCCCCTTAATTCTTGAAATTATTGGAGTTGACATAAAAGGTTTAGCAAATACTGTGGGAAGACAGCTTCTCCTATAATCTTTATAATTAAAGACTGATTTTAGCGCTACAGAAGTCCTTGCAAACTATAATATTGTATTCTTGTATCCCTGACTGTATTCTTACACAAAATATGAATTGGAATTTCTGCCCTTAGCACAACATTTGAAATAAAGATATCTTATTCAAGAAGGTCATATTTCTTTGCCATTACATATTGATAATAATTGTAGTGCCTGTGAATAGAATACATTATATAGAGTATTTTACAACTTTTAAAATCAAGTTGGCTGTTTTATCAGATATTTCTGACATTAAATTTACCAAATTTTATATGGATACCCAAGTCAAGAAAAAGACAGCTATATTTTCTTTTTATGACTAGTTAATAGAGATAGATTTCAGGCTTATATTTATTAAATGCCCCATTACCATTGATAGCTGTTATGTTAACAATGTATCAGAAAATATAATTCATAAGTGGAGATTAAATTATAAATAGGGCATAAAGTGTTTCTATAGTTTGTTAGGAATTCAGTAGATGCTCAAGCTTAATGCTTTGCTCTCAGTTGGCCAGTGCTTGGATTATCGATACTAAGCATTATTACCGGTATGAACATATTACATATAATATTTAGGGTTTCACACAGTGTTGCTATTGTACTTGTTAGCATAATTTATTTACTTTTTTCCGTATCAAACATGGAAGCTATCTCTATTAAAATGCAGGGAAATAAATACAATCGGTAATCCTGGAATATTCCGGTTGAAACAAATATTTTTATTCAAAAGAGTGTTATTCGTTATCTTTTTCAAATATTTTTCATTAACTGGGCACACAGATATAACAAAAAGTTTCTAAACTAATTCATTGCCAAAATGCCAAGAAATAGATAATTTTATATGTCATTTTTGAAAGTTTTCACAAGTTGATATGGCTTGCAATGGTTAACATCCACTCAACTCAAACTAGGTCATTTCTGGACTAATAAATGGTTCAATTGTATTTAAATAATTTGCTTGCGCGTAGGGGTCTTTAGAAGTGGGAGGAAACCGGACGACCCGGAGAAAACAGACAAGGTTAGGCAATTGACCCTACTCCTTGTCACATCCACCCGGGAAATTGAAACCACGCCAGTTGACTCAATGGCAGAACTTATGATACAACGTGCATGCACTAACCATTCGGCCATCCAACCTCCCTTAAAATTTGTGACATACTTGCATTGGTACAGCTGAAGGCCACAGGTGAAACATATCATAGCTGTGTTTCCAGTCTAAGTTACATTTCATTTCATTTCCTATTTAAAGTCAGTAATCAATTTTTTGGCCTTATGAATTTTGTAAAATATGTACATATACATCAGAATTACAATATTTAATATTAATTACTTTTCTATAAGTTCCAGTTTGATGTAGAAGTAGTAGGAGTAAGTTTATTTCAGTGACTCTGTGTATATAACATAACTATAATAATATTTGAATGAGCCGAAATAATAAAATAAAGAATTTAAGACTATACTCAATCAAAAGAACTTTTATTAAAAAAAACCATTTCAGTCCAAAAATATTTATTGATTTCATACAGCCATCTTTATATGTGTTAGATAAAAGCAAGCCAGCTTATTTTCAATGTATTTTTCATAATAGATTGTTCTTAAAAGCACAATAGCTACATTATTTATTACATTAAACAGTACATATTTGTATTGTCAAGATATATATGAAGAAACTTGATTGTGCCTTTAATGATTTTGTAAAGTATATAACTAAATTACGAGCAGTGTATGTGATTTGGAGACCAAGTCAGGAAAGAACTGTACGCCTACTGTGTATAAATGAGCAGCTGATGGGTTCAATTGAAATCTATATAATACATGTACCAACTGTGGTTTCCGTTATTCTTCTCTTGTTAGTATTGGATCAACTCCAGATCGTAAAAATAACAACTAGGATGATCTTTCTAGTTCTACGTGTTTTTATAAAATATTTATCTCCAAGGGAAACTACCCTAAACGTACATATTGGTTTGTGGCTCGTCCAAATTAGACCAGAATTAACAGAATTAGAACGCAAACATTGAAATATCTACGCTGTTTGATTTACAGAAAATCAGTAGCATCAGCAAGATTGTCCAGTTCTCACCTAACTATATAAATGTACAATAAAAACAAGAGTGGTATCAATATTCTGAAAACAAACAGCATGCTGTAGACCCCAGAAGTTATTGCCTTTGGGAAGTAGGTAATTCTGGCAGATTAAGAATAAAGAAGGTTGTAGCAATTATGACCTGCTGCAAGTTTCAATAAAAACTGACAACATTTTTGAAGAAAAAGCCATATAAGCCAGGTCTTATCAAATGTGAGGGAGAGAGACATTGGGTTCAACATCTGTCGTCCAATCAACACTAACATATGTGTTTTTTTAGCAGTGCGAAGATCTGAAGAAAACCCACAAGGTTAGGCAGACAACCCTACTCCTTGTCAAGAACAAGTGTGGGGATCAAAACCACATCACTTGACTCAATAGTAAATACAGGATGACTGGAGCTAAAGCACACACACACAAAGGTAATGAAGTATTTTACTGAGTGATAAGGATAGTGAAATATTTCACTGTGTGACAATGAAATATTTCACTGTATGACAAGGATAATGATATATAAACAATTCTTACCTGATATATGAGGTGTTAATGTTAAAAGTAACGTTATTATTAATCCACAAACAATATCGAGCATCATGTGACCTCAAGGCTAACTAACACCGTCATGCATATCACCTGAAAAATACACAAATATATTTTTATCATTATTATTACAAAAAATGTATCTTTCAAACAATTTTGAGCCCTCTAGACCCTGTTGTGAGCCCTGCTTCTGGAACACTGGAAATTCACAAAATTAACCATTTGTTTTTTTATTTGTCCATCTAAAACACCAGCAGTTCACAAGGCTAACCCTTGGTTTTGTGCTTTGATTTATTAACAAAATATACCAAAAATACAATCTACCCTCCACTCACATTGTCTATTAGGCCTCCAGTATGGTTGTCATTTCAAAATTTTACTAGCTGATCAAGTTTTGACAGTTTTTTTAAAGTTTTTTCAAGGGAATATTACAATTTTTATCATTATTCCAAATTTTTTTTTTTTATTTTTTCAAATGCTTTTACCGGTACATACATGTATAAAATCTGTTAATTTAACTGTATTTATTGTGTTTCCTAAAACACCTTAAAAGGTTATATTTTTTAAGTGTTTTCATACAAAAAAAAAATAAAACTTTAACTGTATATGTATTGTGTTCTAAGGTTAGATTCTTTTAAATTCTAATTTCTACATATGTTTTAAGCGTTTCCACACATAAAGATAGGTTGCCAGGCAACGAAACATACGCCCATGGCAGCTTGGTTGTCCGAGGAGTTAATAAGGGTTGTTGCAATTTTTTTTCTTTAGTCAGAAATGAAAACATTTACAACACACTAAAATCTGATTACGAGTAACAACCCATTTGGCTTCTAGTTTTGCCCTATTCTAACATTTAACATACAAAACATTTAACATCAATTGCCATAATTATTAGAAATTGTTGGAAATTGATAGGCTTCTTCATCTGATGATATTAAACACTGTATCAGATATTAACTTTAGCCTCTAAAGCGTCCACAAGATTTTTCAAAGTGATCAACTATGACAGTAATTATCAGAAAATGTTGAAAATCAATAGGCTTCTTCGTCTCATGAATTTAAACACTGTGTAAATCGTTGAAAATTAATAGGCTTCTTTGTCTCATTACCTTAAACACTGTGTAAATCAGATATTAACTTTAGCCTCTAAAGTGTCCATAAGATTTTCCAAAGTGATCAAGGGCCATAACTCTGGAAATCGATGAAATCTGATATTAACTTTTGCCTCCAGACTATCCACAAGATTTTTTAGAGTAATCAAGGGCCATAACGCTGGCAGTAATTATTGGAAATCGTTGACAAAAGAGTAGCCTTCTTCGTCTCATGATCTTAAACACTGTGTATAAATTTAAAGTCAATCGGATATTAACTTTAGCCTGGCGGACTGACGGACGAATGGGGGCGACGATAATATACGACCACATACATGTATCAATGTGGGAGTATAAAAACTGTAACTATATAACTGTATTTATTGTGTTTTTAAGGTTAAATTCTTTGAAATTCTAGTTTTATGGCATGACAGGTCAGTTCTTCAGCTGCTTAATTTCACTGCCAATCTACCAAGCAAATATGACTGAAATGAGAGGCCTTGCTGGTAGAAAAAATATGGAAATGTTTGGGGCTTTCTTTCTTTTTTGCTGTGTTTTTACCGATATTATTATTACACACAAACAGTTTAAAATTGTCAGGGACTAGTTCCGTCAGCTACATTCAAGTGCAACTAAAATAGTTATTTCCAGATCAGGCTGTTACATAAAGTATTTGTAATGAACATAGAATAATAAAAACTGATATACCTTTTAAACATTAATTCTTTCACACTATTAAGGAGTTGAAAAATAATATTCACAATTTTTAGTCACATTTTGAAACTTTGGTATATTACTAACAATCTACAAAATTATCCATTTTCATAATTTTTTACTATCATTGGAGATAATACCCACGACTTATTTCAAGATTTAATTGATAATCATTTAGAATAAGCACTCAAAAATCCATTCATTCAGCACAATTTTCTTTTTTCTTCAGCAAGAAAAATATTTTGCGGTTTTGTTGGTCTATTTTATATGTTGTACACACATGTAGATTATATTCATTTATATAGCACTAAAAACATTTTCACTATACCAGTATCACACTGTAAAATATTTTCACTAATCGGTAACACACTGTAAAATATTTTCACTAATCAGTAAAATACTGTACAAAATTTTCATTTGATTTTAAATCTTTATACAAGGTGAAATTTATTTATTTGTCTATTTTATATACTGTATACATGTACAAGTATCCATTTATAAAATTTCTAGCTTCCATACTTTTATTTATTAAAGAAATTATTTGTGGAACTGTGAAACACAAGTCTGATCTATATTTATTAAAAAAACCCTCAAATTTATCACTTGATCAAATTTAGCATTTAAGAAATTGAAGAGATGGCTATAAACAGTGCATTTCTTTCTTCACAAAGTAACTTGCACACCTTAAACACTTCAATTTTTTTTTCTCCAAAAGGTTTCTATATCTTCATTAAGGTAAGAACTTTCAGCGCATGTTCAAACACTTCTAGTGCTACTCATCAACACAAAAATCTATGCATCCTGCTGCTCAACAATAGAAACCAATATACTGCACAACTTGAAAAACATTAATTAATCTTTTATCCAAAGTTTTCCAATGTTAATTTTATAAACTCCTAGTGCTACTCTTAACCGGCAAAATATACAACTTTACGCATACTATAATAAATAGTAGCAACGTAGTAAAATATATAATGGCTAATCGATTGGCCAAGTTTGTTACGGTATATAGCTAACAATAGTTTACGCATAATCAACTTAAAGTCGTTAATTATTAACAGATTCTACAAGAATATAAAGGAAGCGCAAACAAAAGCACTATCCAATCAAACAATCTTTCATTTTTACCTAAAAAACAACTTTTATGAATCTTAAAGGGATATTTCTAGAGCAGATGACATGACATTTTGTTGTTCAGATCTTTGGACTTTTTGTATTTTCAGACTGGCCTAGGAGCTTAGTGAAGTTTATACATTGACAGACTTTGAGTTTGAATCATGGGATTCAAGTTTTTGTGCTCCCTCTCAGCTGAAATAAATGACATTGTTTCAATGTAGTTTTCAACTGTTAACCATGTCCCTGTACTAGCCACAAATGCAGATTTATTGATCTTTACTATTGAGTACTGTATTGGCTTTGTTTTTTTACAATTGCCATTATTTCAAGCATGTTTAGCTTTAGGTACATAGGGTCAAGTTATCAGATTCCCAAAGATCATCTGTGTTATGTTACCGAATTCCAATAGTCAACTAAGGCCAAGTTACCCATGAATTCCAAGAGTCAAGAAACTTTATTCTCAGAGTTCATAACTGTCAAGATACATACATGATTGCCCAAAGTTCAGAAAGAACCTGATACACATCCCTACCATTCACAGGGTTCACGGGTTAATTTACCCATAGATTCTATTGGTATTTTCAGAATTCAAGGAGTTTACTAATAATCTGAATGTAAAACTTTACAACTGATGCATGTATTCCTAGTTTGGGGACACAAAAGGTATTAAACAGTACTCAAAATAGAAGGCATTACACAGTACCCCAAAAATACAGAAGGCATTACACAATACCCAAATAATACAGAAGGTAGTCAAACAGTACAGAAAGTAGTCAATCTATACAGAAGGTATTACAGTACTCAAACAATACAGAAAGTATTACAAAGTACTCAAACAATACAGAAGGTATAACACAGTACTCAAACAATACAGAAGGTACTCCATCAATACAGACGATTGACGCATGATCAATTTTCTCCATCTTGTCTTGTTCCCTTTTACTTCTAAAGATCCTGCATGCAATGCCGAGAAATTATTGAAATACATGTACATACATGTATATACCATATTACTACCAAAATGACCCAGTTAGTGTTAGGTGAGCATCAAACCCAATTTCACTCTCTCTACATGGTTTAATGTCAGCTTCCGCAATAGGTTTATATTTTTTGCCGAATATGGGGATGTGGTTGATGTGGTGAACTATCAAATCCAATATAATGTTTCTGTCAAATTCTATTCTCACATGTTTCAACCTTATATTTCAGAAAAAGGATTATCTGTCCAAAAATAATTCAGTATACTGCTCAGTAGTTCAACATCCTCTGCAGACTGTATAAAATAAGCAATCTAGCCTATATAAGTGTTTGGTCAAATCTTTTGATTGGTCTCTTTTTATTACAATTGAAAGCAAGCCCAAAAATTACATGTACATATTGTGTTTTTTTGTTTTCTTAATTAAATGTTAAATAATCAATTTTGATTAAACCGTGAATAATTAGATATTGTCTAAAAAGTGTACGTCAGGATTGGGATCTGGGTCGGCGGCTTTAACTGGTCTGGTGCATAAAAGGAGTTTAGTACACAAAGAAAACAAAGCTAATCTCTGAGATACATTTCTCGTACAAAATGAATACTATAGACCTAGATTTAAAGACAAAAAGCACTTTATAAATTGTCAACGAACCGCTCATTTACCCATAAGCCACCTGACTTTCCACCGATAAAAGAGGTTAAATGTACCGTGAAAGATGAATATCAAGATCGCATAAGAACTGAACCCAAGGGTTATGAATCATTAACAAGCATTGTTCGATAACCCCAAGCACTAGTGACTTTCTATAAAACAACTTAATGTTTTTATAATTTGAGATACGATAAAAAAAATACATACAATACACGTTTCTAATCTAATCAGTTATATAATTTTACGCTTGTAACATGAACCACAATCAAACTTAATTCTAATTGGTTAATTGTGGTCATGTGATCTAGAACTGGAGGGAAAACAATTAATATTTAAAGGATATTATAATGGGTTATCTACTTTTTAACAAAATTAAACAATGACTAAGTACTCAACTAAACAATAATGGGTTAGACTTTTTCACAAACTTAAACAATGACTAAGCAATATTTATTTCTAATATTAACCTTTTATTTATCGGGAAATAAAATGAGTTTTAACTTCCTACTTTTCTGCACCAACACATTAATAAGATGAGCTTATA